CTGTCTGGTTTTAAGAAACAGGTCTTTTCAGGAGGGAAAAAAAAAAACCTACAAGTACAAATTAAATACAGAATTGACTCTGAAATTAGTTTGCTGTTTAGAGTCATTGGTTCTAAATCAGTTAACATTTGGGTCCCCTTGTGTTGCCTGCGTCACCCACATAGGCACTGGCCTGTAAGAACTCCCTGATGGTAGCAGGGTTGTTTGTCAGTGCGGTCGGTCGGTCGGTCACTCTGGGATTTTGGAGATAAAATTATACTGTCAGCTGGATGCCTGCTCTTCTCTGGGGGGAGGGGCCTGAGAATCCCTAAATGGTTTCAGCTTGTTTAAGAAGACGTCGCTGAGCTTTGAGTTCTGATCTGTTTCTAGATGACTCCTGCTTGCCGCTGTGGTCAGAACGGGGCTAGACTTCTTTCCTTTGTTGAGGAATTGGTAGCTTGGTGTTCCTTCCACCCTCCCCACCCCTAACAGGCTGGCAATCAGAAAGATGGGCTTCCTTTCTCGTTCAGGACAGCTCTCTCCAGAAAGTGCGGGAGAGAGCCAGTGCTCAACCATGGTAAAACTGAAACCTAAAACCAAAAGCCACAAATTCTAGGAATGCAGCTCCTAAGTGAGGCAGAAAACCCAATGGTTTCATTATGTCAGTCATGTCCTCTGACTGTGACAAACACTAAGGAAGCCATCCGGAAGGACTTGACTTGGCTCACACTCTCAGAGGTTTCCATCCTCCGTTGCTTGGCTCTGCCGGTTCTGGGCTGAGAAGCGCACAGCTCTGCTCACCGTGCTGCAGCCGGAAGGCAGCAAGCAGTATCAGGAAAGGGCCAAGGGGCATGCACACCCTTCGAAGACGACAGCCACCACCCACGTTCTTCAACTCGGCCTCGGCTCTGCGGGTCTACCGCCTCCTGTTAGTCTACCCAAATCCCGAGTCCATTATGGACTTAACCATTGATTAGGTCAAAGCCTGCATGATCTAATCTCTGGAAAGGGGCCTCACAGATGTGCCCAGAGGTGCCGTTCACCAGTATCCTAGGCGTCTCTCGAACCCGTCAAGGCTACAGTCAAGATCAACCATCCACGTTCACACTCAGGACCACCAGCTGTCAACCCAGCCCGGCCACATTCCATGCGTGGTCAGGGACCCAACAGCCTGGAAACAGCGCTGAGTTGTTTCCGTTTTACAAAGAGGAAAAGACACAACCCGAGAGGGGCTGAGGGACATTCCTATAACCCTGCGTCCCTGAAGTTGCGGAGCCAGAGTCCAAAGCTGGAGGGTGGGAGCCTGAGGCCTGGAGCACCAGGTCCTCAGACTAGAGTGCTGGTAAACTTGGCACTCAGTACAAGGGCTGCCATGTTATAGGGTATGCCTTCTACTCAGTGGATACAGCTGCCCCGAGAGACAGCCACAGTGGAACGGACCCGCCCCCATTCTCGATAGATCTGAACACCTATGCAGTTTGTGAGGAATAATAATGCTTGGTTTGGGTCGTGGTCCTGAAGATATCCAATGGTGTGGGGTGGTCAGCACCTTGTACTACATTACAACATGACAGAGGGCATCACAAGGCTAGACAGAGCAAGTCCGCCATGGATAACCCATTCCATCTAAGAATAAATTCAAGGATAACAAAGCCATTCCCTCAGTAACATATTCATCTTTAAATGGGTTTGTCCAATTATGAGGGCAGCATATCCTTATAGCACAATGACTGGGTGACCTTGTTGCTCAGCACTGTTACACTGAGAACCAAGTTTCCAAGGTGTGGCCTTTGGGGAAGATGCATTCACACTATAGCAACCACCCATTGCATACCCTTCCAAAGGTGACGGACGGTGCCTCAGTCCGAGTAGGTACATAAACCATTGTAGTTACTTCTCTGTTGCTGCGACGACAAACACCATGACCAAAAATGACTTATGGAAGAGTTTCTTTTGACTTACGGTTGCAGGGTCCATGCGGTGGGGGAGGCTTGGGAGCAGACAGCCGGGACAGGAAGCTGAGAGATCACGTCTTCATCTGCAAACAAGAAAGCACAAAAGAGACTGAACTGGAAGTAGGCGGGACCATAGGCCCTCGAGCCCTCGCCAAGTGCTGTGCCTCCTTCGCGGTGCCCTTGCCCTCGCCTCCACAGCTTCCCCCAAGGGCGCTACAAGCTCAGGACCAAGCGCTCAAATACATGAACCTATGGGGGAGATTCCCACTCACCACCACAGCCACCAGGAACTAGTGTAGGGACGTGTAATTAATTCCCAGGTGCATAGAAGCAGAGAGGGGCTCTTTACCTCCCGTTCGTTTATTATTTATTCATTATTTCTGAGACAGGATCTCACTATCCCCAGCCGTAGACCCAAACTCATAGGGATTCTCCTGCCTCTGCTTCCGGGTGCATTTTTATTTTTAACTTTTAAAAACACACACTTATTGATTTATTTACTCTGTGTGTGTGCGTGCGTGTGCGTGCGTGTGTGTGTGTGTGTGTGTGCGCACGCGTGTGTTAAGAGGGGAGAGTCAGCTCTCTCCTCCTTCCCTGTGTGTCCCAGGGATGGGACTCGGGTCATCAGGCCTGGTTTTAACCAGAACTTTCACCCAGTGGGCTATTTAGCCAGGCTATCTGCTTTGTTTATGGAGTAGTTACCACGGTGTCCATCTCTGTGGGCAGAGAAATTAGCGTTTGCCGTGGACATGGGTTGACTGGAAGGAAGTGAACATGCATACAGCACATGAAAGGGCCGTAAAGACAGTAATGAAGGAAACAGGAAAGAGACCCCACGTCATTTACGACAGGCAACATAGCAATACGCAGTAACATACATTGAGGAGACTCATTCCAATGGCCACCTACTAGAGAAGATGGTGAGGAGAACTACAGTGAATCAAGTTGTTAGCTGATTGACCAAGAGAGGTCAATGAGACTCCCAATGGCAGATACCACAGAAGCACGTTTGTCCGTTTCCCGATGGTATGTATACACCACGGAAGGATGTTTGTCCGTTTCCCGATGGCATACGCCACGGAAGGATGTTTGTCCGTTTCCCGATGGCATACGCCACGGAAGGATGTTTGTCCACTCCCCCGTCACCTGAGACTAAAGAACTGTGAGCATGGGCGGGAGGTGGGCCAGTTCACACTATTTGATTTCAAGTTGCATTTTCCTTCCAGGGATTTTGCTCTACATCCGGGGAAAGCTTGAAGCCCAGGATGATCCTGTCTAACTCCACCACTGTGGTGCCCTTTCTGGCCACGCTGTGGCAGGAGACAGCCGAACAGGGCAGCAACGTGTCGGGCCTGGCTCGCAAGTCTCAGCTCCGAGATGACAGCAAGCTAGAAGCTCTCTACATCCTCATGGTACTGGGTTTCTTTGGCTTCTTCACCCTGGGCATCATGCTGAGCTACATCCGGTCTAAGAAACTGGAGCATTCTCACGACCCCTTCAATGTGTACATCGAGTCGGATGCCTGGCAGGAGAAAGACAAGGCCTTCTTCCAGGCCCGTGTTCTGGAGAGCTGCAGGGCTTGCTACATCATTGAGAACCAGGTGGCTGTAGAACAGCCTGTCACACACCTTCCTGAACTGAAGCCTCTGTCATGAACCCCATAGCTCGTTAATAGACAAACCCTGCATGGGACAATCTGGTCCCTCTAGTCACACGCCTGTCATAGTCTTTATTGTAGGGGTACCATTGCATTTTTTGCTATTGAAGGATCAAGGGGTGAATCGATAATACAAGTTTTCTAAACTCACATCCCGTCTATAGTAGATGATCAACTAATTCTTGTCTCTTTAAGTCGAGCCAAGCCCCCAACAGTATGGTCTCTGGGAATGCAAGCCCAGTTCTCCCCCAAATCTCTGGATATTAGCAGGGTCACACGAGTAAGTTCTAGTCAGAGGATGTGGACGTGATGAATCCGGTTCGTAAACAGCCTTTGAGAAGGGAAGGGTGTGCCCTCCATCTTCCTTGTCCCTTTTAAGGACGTCGACACACTGGAGGCAGCTCTGATAGAAACAGCAATGCACTCTCAGGAGGCACAGATGACCCAGGGCCCGGCACCTTCCTGCGCTGTCCAGCTGCCAGGGTGGTAAGAAAGGGCCTTTGCCCCACTCCTGTAACCTCTGCTAAAGTTGAAGAGCCAGTGGCCAAACACTCTAGCCTCCTGCCTCCAACTCCCTCACAGCTTTCCTTATCCACACGCGCACGCGCGCACACACACTCACACACACTGTTCAATCCGCATAGAAATCGCTTCTTATAGGGCTGGGACAGTCGGAAAATGACTCCTTCAGAGTCGGCACCAAGAGCAAGGTGTGCAGTTATGACTGGAGAGAAAGTGGCCACCCCACCATGCCAAAGGCCACAGGGGAAGGTGCGCATGTGGGCACTGAAGCATGGGACTGATGTAGCAAGGCCCTTGCTGTGACAGGTTTGACTTAGGATGAATTATGTTCCTAAAAACATGTTGAGGTTCCAATCCCCAGTACTAGTAAATGTTACCTTGTCTGGAAGTAGGGTCTTTACCGACCATCACGTTTCAGTGAGCGACTGAGGTGGGTCCTACTGGCACCCTTCTAAGAGGGGGGGGGAATACTTGACACACACAGAAACTACAAGATGCCAGACACAGAGATGGGAGGGCTAAAAAGAAAGCCAAGGAGGGCTGAAGATGGATGGCCCCTGGCCTGGGGACAGAAGCTACGGATGGAGGGCTGAAGACAGATGGCCCCTGGCCTGGGGACAGAAGCTACGGACGGAGCAATTCTCCTTGTCAGCTTTCAAGGACACGAGGCCTTCCCCAGCCTTCCTTCCAGACTCCGGCCTTGAGAACACAGGACAATGCCCGTCTGTTGCCTGGTAGACTTTGATAAAGCAGTCTCGCCAGCTAATACAGTATCTGAGGCCGTTCCCACCTCCAACCAGAAGGGACAATGGGAGTGGAGAGGGGTGGCCAGAGTCGCTGTTCACAGCAGACAGGCAGAGACACTTCAGGTCGTCTGCCCTGAGAGCATGGGGAACCAGCGCCCTGCGCGCCAGCCCGTCCCCAGCTGCCACCCGAGATACGAGGACCTTGTGTACCATGGCTCTTTAAAAGCTCACCCACCTGGCACTACTGGACAGTACGGAATGAGGCCAAAGTTTTGGACAACTGAATTATGGCTGGCAAGACAGAGGTGATCTGAGTTTGATCCCCAGAACCCATGGTGGAAGGAGAGGACAGACTGCAGAAAGTTGTCCTGTGACCTCTACATGATGCCCGGTACGGACAGACAGACACACGGACAGACAGACAGACGGACACACACACACAACCGTACACACATAAAACAGTAGTAAAGAATTACACACAGTCTCATGAGAAGCAGCCCGATGCAGCGCTGACTGTCCCCCAGCACGTTTGGCTCCATCTGATCTGATGACCACACCCTTCGTCTCCCACAAAGCAGCGATTCCCATGTTGGGGATAGGCTGGGGGACATTTCCAGGGGAAACCCTGGCATGGACTCGCCTCTGAATTGCTACTGCCCTTGAATAATTATTTGTGTGCCAGAGTCCTTTGAATTCCAATGAATGCTCGACTCCTCCCCACCCCAAGACGCCCACGGACGCCGCTTCCCCTGCTGTGCCCGGGGTTCATGGACACCTGGAACAGCTGTGGCTACAGCAACCATGGCCCCTGTGGGAACAAACTGCTCCAAACGGACGCCTGCTGCCCAGACTGGAGGGAAGGCTTGGAGAGGGACCCAGAGTGCTTGTGACTAGCTCGTGACACAGTGACCTTGATATCCCTGGCACACAGACTCCCTGTCACCAGCTCCTTTCTCCACAGGATTCCTGTGCCTTTTAAGGCAGGGAGATGCCCCGGCCTTGGAGCTAGCTATCTGCCCTTGGAGCACTGGGTCACACACTCTCCACCCACTGCAGACTCCTTATCTCTCCCCTCTTCTGGCCCCTTCATTTAAAAGGCAGAAGGGAAGGCACAAGTAAGAACTGAACTGAGCCTCGAATGTTACCTGCCTGATGTCTTCCTGTAACATCTGATCGCACACACACACACACACACACACACACACACACACACACACACACGCACGCACACACACGAGGGCTGTCACACTGTAACATCTGATCACACACACAGAGGGCTGTCACACTGTAACACTGATTGATTACACACACACACACACACACACACACAGGTGTACACAGGGCTGTCACCTGTCACATCTGATCACACATGCACACAGGACTGTCACCTGTCGTGCAGGGATCACTCCCAGCTCTCCACGGATTCTCAGTGGATATTTTGCACACTGCTGTTGTTAGGACAGTGCCTTCTGCTGTGTTAACATTTTTTAATTAAAGCTTTTAAAACATGATTGTGTGTGTGTGTGTATTTTAAAAAGCAAGATTTATCTACTCTAGTTTTATGTGCCTGACTGTTCGCCTGCATATATGCAAATGTACTTGGTGCCTGGTGTCTGTGGAGGCCAGGAGAGGGTGTTGGATCCCCTGGAGTTATGGATGGCTCTGAGCTGCTGTGTGGGTGCTGGGAACTGAACCCAAGCGCCCCGCTGAGGAATCCATGCTCTTAACATTAAGCTATCTCTCCATGCCCCAAGGCTGTCCTGTTCACATCACTGGTTCTTTTGGGAAAGGGAGAGGTGTCTGAGGGGCTTCAGAGGCAACCCCGGTAGCCGTGGGATGAGGAGTATGGACTGCCTGGGGAAGTTAAGTCAGTCATCAAGGCACAGTGTGTCAGGGTGGAGAATCGTGGGCCCCTCTGATCAAAAGTAGGGGAACATCCCCAGAGGGATGTCAGTCACCCAGGGGGTACCTTTCTCTTCTATGCTGGTTGGTAATTTCGTCAACTTGTCACAAGCAAGGGAAGAGGGTCTTCATTTGAGAAAATGCCCCATCAGACTAATCAGAAGCTAGGGGCTTCTTCTTGACTGATGATTAACGTGGCAGGGCCCAGCCTATTGGGCCAGCACAGGGACATGTGGTCCTGTGCTGTACGCAAAAGCGGGCTGAGCAAGCCACAGGGAGCAAACCAGTGAGCGGCTCCCTCCATGGCCTCGCGTCGGCTCCTGCCTCCAGGTTCCAGCCCTGCCCGCGTTCCTGCCTTGGGTTCCCTTGGTGATGAACTGTAATTGGGGTGTGTAAGATAAATAAACCCCTTTCTCCCCAGGTCACTTTTGGTTTTGATTTGTATTACAGCTGTAGAAACCAAACCAAGACACCTTGAAAAGGGGGCCAGGCGTTAACACTTGGCGTCTGTGGGGAATACAAAGCAGAATGACGATGGACTTTGGCTTCTGTAAGAGAAGACTCCTGACTTTCACGTGTCAGGACTAAGTTAACTACTAAGTTCTATTACTATTACTTCATCTATGTACGTGTGTGTCTGTCTGTATGACTGTGTGTGTGTGTGTGTGTATGTGTGTCTGTATGAGTGTGTGTGTGTGTGTATGAGTGGGTGTGTGTGAGTGTATGTGGGTGAGTGTGTGTGTATGTGTGTATGAGTATGTGTGTGTGTCTGTATGAGTGTGTGTCTGTGTGTGTGTATGAGTGTGTGTGTGTATCTGTGTGTGTATGTGTGTGTCTGTATGAGTGTGTCTGTGTGTATGTGTGTGCATGGCGGCCAGGGTCAATGTCAGATGTCTCCCCCAATCACTTTCCATCTTATTTTCTTCTAAGCTAATGACTTGTTTATTATTTCATGTGTGTATGTGCGCGCACCGAGTGTGTGAAGTGGCCAAGGAAAGCAGGAAGAGAGCATCAGGACTCTAGAACCAGAGTTACAAGCAATTGTGTGTCTGCCTGATCATCCCCTTCACACGCCTTCCCCAGCCTGCCTAGAGCAACAGCCCTCACCCCACCCCACCCCCAGCACACCCAACCAGCCAGATCTACACACTCCAGGCTTGGACCAGGACACATCTGGCACACCAGTCCAGTCCCCTCTGCTCCCCTGACCTCATTCCACCTAAGGCAACTGGCTCAGGCATCCCTTCTTCCTTTCCCACGGGCTCTGTCCACATCAGACAAAGAACTAGTGAGTGAGTTCTCATGCGCAGATCTCGTTGCTGCCAATGAGAATTGCCTAGATGGACTCCAGAACACGCAATTAAAAAAAAAAAATCGTAAACAATCAAATCAAAGAATTCAAGCAGTTTAGAGGAAACAACAAAACAGCTCAATGAAATTAACAGACCTTACACTGAATAAGCAAGGAATAACTAAATAATAAAAATAAGTAAGCAGTTAAAGTTAAAAAAAAAAAACCCCACAGGAAATGGACATACGGGGAGGTGTGTAACACTATGATAGGCAACAATCGGGGAAGAATCTCGTCAGTGGCAATCCAAGCAGAGGTACAGGGACAAGAAGGATGGAATCAGGGAGCCCCCAGCAGCTACTGGGGAAGCTAGACGTGAAGTAACAAGCCACAAGCCTTGTGGTAAAATATAGAATAGAAATGGGTTAGTGTGGTTATAAGAGCTAGTCAATAAGCCTGAGCTAACAGGCCAAACAGTTTGTAATTAATATTAAGCCTCTGAATGGTTATTCAGGAACTGGCTGGCAGGAGAGAAACATCTGGCTACAGCTGACTGCTCAATGGAAATTTGGAAAGTCAGAAGTACCTGGAGCAATGCACTCCAAGTCCTAAGAGGCCACCAGGGCCAACCGAGACTAATATACCCAGCAAAACCATCTGGCATATATATACCCAGCAAAGCTCTCTGCCATAGTTGAAGGAGAAAGAAACACTTTCTCTTGCAGACAGCCTGAGTTCAGGCCCAGGACCCATGCCAGGAGGCTCACACGCCTGTGACTGCAGCTCCAGGAGGCTCACACGCCTGTGACTGCAGCTCCAGGAGGCTCACATGCCTGTGACTGCAGCTCCAGGAGGCTCACATGTCTTCTTCTGGACTCTGCAGACACCTGCACTTTGTGCATGCTCCACTCACATGGACGCATACACTAACATACAAACTTTAAACCGTGCCGCAATGAAGCCTTCCATCCTTAAAATGCTTCTTGTCTGGTGTTTGGTCACAGCAGTAACAACAGTTCTGGTGGGAGGTTCGGATTTCCAGGCTTCTAACTCTCAGCCAGCTCCCCAGCCCACACCTCACAGGAAGCATGGTGCTTTAGACATCATTTCCCTCAAAGGCTGGCAGTAGCGGCTTCATCATCGTCAGTGTGGCGGTATTGTGTGGATAGATCCTTTAATAGGTAATCACTGGGGGGGGGGGAGTGCCCTTGGGAGGGGTTAGTGAAGTTCTCCTGGAATTTCAGCCAGTTCCAGTGACTGAGGTTATTATAAGAGCGAGGGGGAGGGGGAGGGGAGGAGGGGGGATGACTCAGTGGTTAAGAGCACATGCCACTCTTACCCGGGACCTGGGCTTGGTTCTCATCACCCACACAGTGTAAATTCAGTCCTGGTTTGGGGGCCTGGCACCTTCTTTTGGCCTTCGTGAGCCCCAGGCACGCATATAATACATATACACACGTTCAGGCAAAGCACTCACACACTAAAATAAAAACACTTTTTGAAACAGGAGTCAGACCTGCCCCTCCATACTCTGCCATCGCCTCCTCTCCTGTATGTCTTCCGTGATGCCATCCACCACGAGACAGTCGCGGGAGCCCTAGCCAGAGGCTGAGCAGGTGATAAGATGCCTGATTTGGGCTTTTAGTACCCAAAGCTGTGAGCCAGATGAGCCATGGGTACTCTGTTGTAACAACAGAAAACAGAAGATATAAACGGAGGGAACCCTGCCCAGCCATGGCACCAGAAACATGTAATCCCCCGGGGGCCCCGACGGGGACCCCAAGATCAATGAGGGAATACTGCATCGGTTGTCCTCACCTGGCACTTTGAGAGCAGCCTGCTCGCCTGTCTCTCCCATGCACTGCTCACCATAGGGATGACATCACAGCTCCATGCCCTGCTCTCCCCTTCCCCTCCCCCCTACCCCATGCCCTGCTCTCCCCTTCCCCTCCCTCCCCCTACCCCATGCCCTGCTCTCCCCTCCCCCTCCCCCCTCCCCCCATGCCCTGCTCTCCCCTTCCCCCTCCTCCCCCTACCCCATGCCCTGCTCTCCCCTCC